ACTCTGAATATTCCAAATTTGTGGGCGTAGACACACGTGTGTATCAGTGTATGTATATGTATTGAAATCGAGAATGGATCTGTTCCGAGTCTGTTCAGGGATGGATTTCTTAGCTTGGAGAGGAATGGCTTACACACTTCTTCTCCTCAACTTTGTCTTCGCTTGTCAGCTTCTTCTTCTTCAACCCCTCGTTTCCGCTTTAGGTTTGTCACATTTTTCGTTTCGCTTTTCCCCTGTGTTGTGAAATCGATGTCTATCGTTTTAGCTGATTCGGGAATCTTAGGGTTTCGAATTTCGCACTAATATGGTAAATTGATTCTATATTCATCGGAAATTTGCTTAATTTGGTTATGGGGTTGTCGCAATCTCCGATATTGAGGTTCCCTGTAATGGTATTGGAATCGAGATTAGGACTCTGTTTTTTTTGGGTATTGAAGCATAGTAATTGAGTGAAAATAGACAAACTTGGTTACGAATTTTGGTTAAATTTGGAAACTTTGTTGTGTGAGTGAATCAAGAATGCATTTTTGGGTTGTTTTGTACAGATGGTCAATCTGTAGATGCTGCTGAGTTGTTTGAGAGGGCTTCACAAAGTATCAAGGTTAAGCGTTATAGCGACGCGCTCGATGATTTGAATGCAGCCATTGAAGTAGACCCTACACTTTCAGAAGCTTATTTTAGGCGTGCGTCTGTGCTTCGTCATTTTTGCAGGTATAGAAATGGCAAGAGGTTTCATCTTTGGTTTGGATTCGTCGTTTTCATTCAAAAATGTTACGCGAAAAGGCGAGAAGTTGATTTTTCTCTTTCTCTGTGTTAGATACGAAGATTCTGAAAATAGTTACCAGAAGTATCTAGAGCTTAGACCAGGAGATTCAAATGCTGAGAAAGAGCTCTCTCAGCTTCATCAAGCTAAGAGTGCTTTGGAGTCTGCGTTGAATCTCTACGAATCAAAAGACATTGAGAAGGCTCTTGAATATGTTGATAAAGTTGTTCTTGTCTTCTCCCCAGCTTGCTCTAAGGTTCTCTTCTTGCTTGATCTTTTTTATGGCTATTTGCAACAGATTTTAGTACTCTCTTGATCATGCGGTTTCTTATCATTTATCGTTTTTTCACTTCAGGTAAAGCTTCTGAAAGTCAAGCTTCTTATGGTGTCTAAAGACTACTCAGGTGCGATTTCCGAGACTGGTTATATTCTCAAGGAAGATGAAAATAACCTTGAAGCTTTGCTCCTTCGTGGCCGTGCCTACTACTATTTAGCAGATCATGATATTGCTCAAAGGTTTGGTCTAATTTCAACTCAGTTTCTAATCAGTGGGTGTTTGGATCCAAAACTGAGAGTAAACTCTGTTTCAGGCATTACCAAAAAGGGCTTCGTCTTGATCCGGAACACAGTGAACTAAAGAAAGCATACTTCGGATTGAAAAAACTGCTTAAGAAAACAAAAAGCGTGAGTCATGCAACCATGTTTGTCTTCCCATAATACAGAGCTTTAGCAGCCATTCTTTGTGTTGAAAACCTGTGTTCTATTGCAGGCAGAGGATAATGCAAACAAAGGAAAGTTACGAGTTTCAACGGAGGACTATAAGGAAGCTATTGCTCTCGACCCTGAACACACAGCACATAACGTACATCTCTATCTTGGACTATGCAAGGTCTCAGTCAGGCTCGGCCGTGGAAAAGACGGCTTAAATAGCTGTAACGAAGCACTTAACATCGATCCAGAACTGATCGAAGCTTTTCATCAGGTTTAAATCATTAACTACTAAATCGAAACATTCATTAGTTGTATCGAACAAACAGGTTTCTGATGACTACTTCATCAGAGAGGAGAAGCTAAACTGTTACTTGAAGATTGGGAAGGAGCTGTGGAGGATTTGAAACAAGCCGCTCAAAACTCCCAGGTTGGTAAACATTAGTCTTCAGTGTTTTGATATTCGTAATGCAACTTGGTTCTTTTAGACTCACACAATACACATTTAATTTTTGTATTAGGACATGGAAATTCATGAAGCACTTGGTAGAGCAGAGAAAGCACTAAAGATGAGCAAGCGAAAAGATTGGTATAAGATTCTTGGAGTTTCCAAAACTGCCTCTATCTCTGAAATAAAAAAGGCCTACAAGAAGCTCGCTTTACAATGGCATCCCGATAAAAACGTAGATAACAGAGAAGAAGCTGAGAACAAATTCCGAGAAATCGCTGCAGCTTATGAGGTTAGAAAAATCCACAATGCCTTTTCATTTTCACACACACAGAGATGGTAAATCTAACCCATGAATTGATCAGATTCTTGGAGATGACGATAAGCGGGCAAGATTTGACAGAGGAGAGGATCTGGAAGATATGGGTGGAGGCGGCCGCGGTGGTGGATTCGATCCATT